TCTTGTGTTGTGAGTTTGTGGTTAAAATGATGAGATTATTTTTATTTTGGTGTTTTCCTTTTCTTTATCCTTGATGTAAAAGTTAAGTGTTTACCAACCTGATCTGATAGAGAGCTGCCATTTTCTGATTATTGCCTACCTATTCATCTCCTTGCTCAGGGCTTTGTAGCCCCTTTCTTATTTTTTTTCTTTTTTCTTTTCAGGTATGAGGGCCTTCTTGAGGATTTCTTGTACGGGGTGTCCTGTGGTGATGAACTCCCTTAGCTTTTGTTTATCCTGGAAAGTTTTTGTCTCTCCATTATATCTGAAGGAGATTTCCACTGGGTAGAGTATTCTTGTATGGATGTTTTTGTCTTTCAGAATTCTGAATATATCATGCCACTCTCTCGTAGCCTGTAAGGTTTCTGCTGAGAAATCTGCTGAAAGTATAATAGGGGTTCCTTTGTAAGTTATTTTTTCTGCCTTGTTGCCCTTAATATTTTTTCTTTGTCATTGACTTTTGCCAGCCTCAGTACTATATGCCTTGCAGTAAGTCTTTTTACATTGACATATTTAGATCTGGTGCCTCTTTCACATGGATTTCCATCCTCTTCCCCAGGTTTGGGAAATTCTGTACTATTATTTCTTTCAACAGGTTTTCTGCTCCATTCTCCCTCTCTTCCCCATCTGGAATACCTCTAATCCTTATGTTGCATTTCTTAATTGAGTCAGATATTTCTCTGAGAGCTTCTTCATTTCTTTTTAGTCTCAGTTCTCTCTTCTCCCTCTGAAGCATTTCTATAGTACTGTCTTCTAAATTGCTAATTTGGTCTTCCATATTGTCAGTTCTGTTATTTAGGGAGTCCAGAGTTTTCTTGATCTTCCACCATTGTGTTTTTCTTCTCCCACAATTCTGATTCTTCTTTATAGTTTCAGTCTCTTTTGTGAAGAAGCTCCTGAATTCGTTAATTTGTCTTTCTGTGTTTTCTTGTAACTTGTTGAGTTTTTTTACAATAGCTATTTTGAATTCTTCATCATTTAGATTATGGATTTCTGTGTCTTCAGGTTTGGTTTCTGGGTACTTGTCATTTTCCTTCTGGTTTGGAGGTTTAATTTACTTTCTCATACTGCTTGGTGGTGTGGATTTTTGCCTCTGTGTGGTCCCTGCCACCTGCCTCCACTGGGTGGGACTCAGGCACTGTGAATTCCAGGCCCAGCATGGTCAGGGGCTCCCCAGCTCCTGCCACTGACTTCTTTTCTCACTGTGCAATGCTCTGACTGATGGCAGATCTGGAGCACCAAGCAGGGGTGAGGGTGCTCTCCTTCATCTGCACCTCCCCCAGCCTCTGCTCTCTGTGTGCACAGCTCTGGCCATCACAGGACTGGAGTGCCAGATGGGGGAAGGGACCCTTTCTTACACCTGTGTGCCTCCACCAACCTCTGCCTCTCTCTCTGCATGGTGCTCTGGGTGCTCACGGGGCTCCATTAGCTGCCGCCTGTCTGTGCCACACCCTGAGCGATCTTGGGGCTGGAGTGCCAGGTGAGTACAGGGCGCCTCTCCGCTGCGCACCTCCTCCAGCCACAGCCCCTCTCTCTCCACAGAACTCATGCCTTTCAGCTTCCACTTCCTCTGGAGGATCCAGCCTCACCACCACCTTCAGACATATGGCTGTGTCGGTCTCTGACATCTTTTGTGTTGTGTGAATGTCCTCTGTTGGCGTGTGAATGCCCTTTTGGTTGTATTTTAGAGGGGGAGAGTCCAAGGGAACAACTCGCTCTGCCATGATGCACACGTCACTCTCAAGTGCTTTTTTGTGTTGAGTGTATATTAAACTAATGATGAAGTTAATTTAAACCCAAGGCACCAGCAACTGAAGTTGTCACCAGAGTTCTAAACTTCTAATTATATCGCTTTAGAGGCCAGTGTATTACAAGGGACCTCATGACGGATTTTCACATTGTAAAACCGATATTGTTAATCGTTTAGAGTCAGGGTCCCTCTGGTGAAGGGCATCCATCAATAATCATTGCTCCATGATACCAAGAGTCATTAACTGAAAGACTAAGGAAGACCATGTCATTTGTTGTCTTAATTACTACAGTTTTAGAGGGAAAGGAAGCTTATTAATAATTATACCAGGAGAACAAGTAGGTATAAACAGGTAGGTATAAACCAGGGCTATTCCGGGCATCTGGGACTTTTGGTCACTCAAAACCTAGTTGTATCAGTAAGATACTGGCAGTCACTAATAAAAAGATAACCCAAAACACTAGTTAATTCTGTGTTAGAGGACCTTGTTATTTAAAATATCCTTACCAATGTTGTTGTAAAACAGATACCTCTTAATTTATCTTTTGTATAAATGTGGATTTTTAGGTATAATTAGCTGAAAATGCTGTGAACATCAGATACCTGGAGTATGGAGATGCACAGAACAAATGTTATCTTGAAACACTGGTTCAGTGTTATCTTTTCTGTATGTTTATTAATGTCATTCTAGATGCACTAATGAGCCATGTTACGTTTGACATACAGATTTCTCATACCCCTTCCCCCACTATAAGAAGAAGTACACATTTTATATTTATCCCTCAAAGTGCATAACCATCATTAAAATATTACTACTTCCCAATTTTATCTTTGTCTATTTTTTGGCTAGTTTTTCATTTAATATTTATGCCTCTCCCATTTCCAAAAGTACCCTAGATAATTTTCAGTAAAAAAAATACAGCTGCATTATAAGCTTGAACATGATAGTGCAGGTGCCTTATAATGCAGGACAGCAGGAGTGGTTTGCACATAGGTGCAGCTGAGAGCGGTGGCAGAAGGTGACTTCTCCATGAGCACAGACAGCTCTGCCCTTCAGGCAGTTAAGGCAGAAAGGGACCCCAGTGATGCACAGAGCTCAGATTAAAGATATTTACTAGTTCAACACGAGATCAATGTTTTCTCTCACATTTATTTGTAAAAATGGATACTTTTCAAAGGGTCATTGACAAATAGACTGTATAATATCCTTAGAAATAGTATTTCTGAAAGATACAGCAGTGTACCATATTGGATATGATTTTAAGAGCATTGGTGAGTAGTTATCAACAACGCAAAAGGTCTGCTGTGTTTAACTTTTTGAGTATTTGAAAATCTGTTTGAATTAAGTGCCTACTGTAGTAAATAATGGAACCACGAGTGAGTGTTTCATGTGTATGGATTAGATTGTTACCATTCAAAAGCTGTAAACGCCACATCGTGTGAATGATAGTCACATTCACACCTTCCCCCTCCCCCCTTTAAGACGTTTTTCTCTTTATAGATTTCCTGGAATTTTTAGTCAACTTCCAGAATGATATATGAAGTACTCTGTAACCTTTCAAGATATTTAAGTATGCATATAAAGTCTGCAGCCTCCGTTTAAGTAGTCAGAGCTAGAGCTCTGCTCACATAGTATGAACCTGCCCCTGTGCCCTCCCTTCCATGCTGTGTGCTTCACCCCACCCCTCTCCCAAACATAGAAGGGATGCACACATCCTCAGAGAGCTGTGACTGTTGACACCAGGGACTTGAACGACAGCTGGATGAGTCTCACCCTTTAAATACACACACATACTCATATATCTTTTTATAAAAGCAAGAGCCATTTAAATAAGCAAATATTGAGGAACTGATGCTTCCCTGAAATGACCTCAGGAATAAAAGAATCTTAAAGTAGAAGGGCCTTAATCTCTTTCAACCCTGTTGTATCTCCATTTTAAATACTTCTGTCAGGGGTTTATGGGCTCACTAGACAACCAATTACATATTTGGAACATTTGATTTTTATTAGGATGGAATTTAGCACTCTGCAGTTTCTACCCTCATCTTTTCTAGAAACCAACTCCTACTTTTAGTATGAATGCTAGATTGCTCCCCAGAACTGAAAATACTAATTTATTTTGTCTAACCAGACTAGAGGATCAAAAGACATTATCTTTTGGGTCTGGCCCAGTGGCATAGTGGTTAAGTTTGCACACTGCTTTGGCAGCCTGGGGTTCATGGTTCAGATCCTGGGCATGGACATACACACTGTTCATCAGGCCATGCTGTGGAGGTGTCACACATACAAAATGGAGGAAGATTGGCAAAGATGTTAGCTCAGTGACAGTCTTCCTCACCAAAAAAAAAATTATCTTTTTTGATCTAGGTTCTCTGTGCAGTGCTTGTGTTCTTGGCAGGCGTGGCACACAGTTGATTCATATGGAGTCTACTAAAGTCTCTAGATTTTTTTTTTCAGATAAACAACAATTAAACCAGGGAAATCTCATGTTGTGGTTTAGGAAAACTCATAATGGCTGCGTTGAGTATATTTAGCATAAATTTATTTTTTTTATTTTGTTAGATGCAGGCTGTTTTTTCCCATCATGGTATAAATTCTACTACAGTTAGTATTTTAATGTTTAAAACGTTCTCTGAATTTAGGATTTCTTGACTTAGTTTAGATTTCAAGAAGATGAATGACTGTGGAAAAATGTAACAGATTTTTAAGATTCTTGATTTAAATTGACACTTGCTTTCCCAGAAAATTTACCAGTATAACTTTCAATAACGGTCTCCCTATGTGTAGTAACTTTTTTGGAAAATAAGGAAGCTCTTTTCCTTTCTGACAACTTGCTTCTGTAGTTTGTGTCCTTCATTTGTATTGCGCATGAATTTTAGAAACTGAAGAAGCTTTGTGGGGAAAATGTAGAGCAAGAAAATAAAAACTCTAAAAGATCAAGTGTTTTAAAAGCTGGGGTTTGTTCATAAGGCTATGGTTTTTTCTTATGTTTTGTTCATGCATTTTTTGCGTGGGAAATCATTTCAAGTTACCAAGGCAATTCTATGTGTAAATTTTTGCTTGAAGCAGGAACTTAGGAGACATCAGGAAGGCTAGATAGAGGACGTGTAGGAGGGTGAGCGGTAGCGGTTGTGTTCTGAGACAGACAACACATCTGTGCATGTGCTGCCACACTGTGTCATCAGTGGGAATTGCACCTTTGTTTCACAGCTACAGGCCAAATTTGAGCACCTTAAAAGAGTTCACCAAGAAGAGAGAATGAAGCTTGAAGAAAAGAGAAGACTGTTGGAAGAAGAAATAATTGCTTTCTCTAAAAAGAAAGCTACCTCCGAGATATACCAGAACCAGACCTTCATGGCATCAGGCAGCAACCTGAGGAAGGACAAGGACCGGAAGAAGTAAGCCACCCGCGCGCCGGTCTCTGGGAACCCCGCCCCACCAGCGCCTGTTTCGTGGCTCTTTCACCCTCCGGAGGGCTTCTCCCTGTCGGCTGCCTTATTCCTTGTCTGCCTCCTGCGGCTCCGAGGTCAGCTCCCTGCCGGCAGAAGCCTTATCCCTCCTGTGCTCTGCTGTTTCCTTAGCATCCGGAACAGCTCTGGCACATATTAAGTGCTCAGAAAATATTTGCCAAAATGCGTGGATAAATGAATGAACAAAATAAAAATACATCACAGTGTAAAAAAGGGTCAATTCCTTGGGGAACAAATGGCTGCTCTTATTTCCTGTCCCAGCCTGTGGCGCTAGTAGACAGCTGGTAACTGCTGACCTCCCAGTAGTTATGTTGAATTTCATGTCTAATTGGAAGCTGTACTTTACTGGGGAACCATAGGCATAAAATAATGCTTGATTTAAAAAACTAATTCTTAGGTTCACTTTTTTTTTTTAACAAATTCTACTAATAATGATTTTGTGAGAATTTTTATCTTAATAAGGGCACCAGCCTATCGATTCGAACTCCTGTGCTTTGATGTCAGAGCTTGTGAGACCACTGGTGGACCTAAAGATGCAGAGGAAGGTAGAGAGGGCCCCAGTACAGTGGGGCGGCCATGAGTAGCATTTGGATGATAATCAAAGGCTTATAGGTTTGGGGTATGTGTTAAAATCAAAGTTACCAAAGTTTTAGAAAATAAGTTTTTTTTCCTCTTCTGTACTTTTTGTCCTTCATTTTATTTCTTCCACTTAGTATGTCCTTGTCAGTTTGCCTGTTTGACTGTTCTTGAAAGTCATCATTGGCTTGTTCTGTTGAGAATGCTCCTTTGTGGGTCTTGGCCTCAGTTCCCTCCAACTACCTGTGCTATAGTGGCATCCACTCTTCCTCAGGCTCCTCACAGAGCAACACTCTCATCTAATTCTATCACCACATCTTATTTCAAACAGAGCATTTGCAGTATTGCAATTCAACTTCCAAATAGTTAGGAAAATATGAACTATGGAGAAGTAAATCCACAGAGTTTTGGTGGATTTAGTTGGCCTGTGGATTATATAGTTTGGGAAGAAAGAAGGAATTCTCATGTATGATCTTTTAATGTAATCTCTACAAGGGCACGCATCTTTGTTTTGTTCCTTGACATTCCATCCCCAGCTCCTAGAACAGTGCCTAGTACATAGTAGGCATGCAGTTATTTGTCGAAAGAATGAATACAACTCATAAAGGCTGTTTTATTCAAGCATTGAATTTCAAGGGATAAACTAGAAATATAATTTATTACTGCTTTTCAGTATTCTTTGAATTATAAAGCTAAGGGACCTTTTACCTTCTTATCCTTTCATCTTAATGCAGTGTTACTAAAATTGGATTCCCCAATTTTATTCCATACATGAAAGACAATTTACATTTATCTTGTAGAAATTGTCACCCTGTTCCACTTGAGAACCATTAGTCTGTGCACAAAAATCAGGGCCAAGCCCATAGTTTTTTGAGAGCTCAGAATTCATTCTCAAGATAACAGAGTTTGGTGTTTTTTTCTGTTTTCATAGCTAGATATCCTATAGTATGTTAGACGTATATTTGCTCTTTCTATAAAAGCTTTGTAAAACTAATGATTCTAGTCATTTTTATTTCCTATGTGATTTTCTATTGTACCAATAATAAGTTTTCTTTTCTCTTTCCAGCTCCAATTTTATGTAAAACAAAGGTTCCAGATCACAGAAAGTCATCACAAGCAAACGTTATTAAAATGTTAGAAGTGTGCTTTGATTTTCTTGCTGTTTTTATTTGTTCTATCACTTATTTTATATCTGGCAAATGGCCACAGTAATTACCATTTATGGAAAAATATGTTTAAGTGTAGGGGCGATACATAAGCCAGAGTGGACATCACTTACGTCTTGAGTGTTGTTAGAAGTTTTTAAGTTGCTGGCTTGTGATGAATCTAGATCATTTCTCCTACTGCCCAGTTATTGTCACTTTGCAGTGCTTTATACCACAGAGCAAAGTGTCGGTGCCATTGAAAATACAGAGCTCATTCATATGATGGCCATCTGATTGCATTTATATTCCAAGATGAAACTTTGTTTTCTGCATTCTAAAGGTAAAGTTTTAGGGATAAGTTTTAAAATGTATTACGTACCTGAAACACTAACCTCTCAATAGTTTTATGGAACTTTTAAATTTTTGATACAGTGATCCAAATGGTAACATGATCTAAGTTTTTGTATCAAATTATATAACATAGTGGCCTTCCATGCTTTAGTATGCTTTATTGTGATTGATGTATTGTTGTGATGAAACAAAATATGTTTAAAAGTAAAAACATCCAGGTATATAAATCCCTTTTCTAGTGACAAATACCTTTGAACCTGGATGTTATCAGACTATTATCATTAGGATGTATTACATACTTGTTTAAAATTCTGTCTTCCAGGGGAAGAAATAATAAGGTTGAATCATCTTTTTAAAAATATTTCTTAAGAAAATAACTATGAACATCTGAATGTTAAAGATACAAGAGTTTAGATAATTCATATCCTAAGGGATATTTGAATTCAGTGCCTTAGTAGTATTCTCAGAACAATTTAGTGGGTTTCTAACTTTTTTCTTAATGGTCATAGGGTATAAGTCTTCATACTTTGTACTGAATATTTTAAATAAAACTGACATTTAATCCTGACAAAATGTATCTACATATTTACTAAAATGTATTTAAATTACTTTAACTTTTCTTTTTGCAAACTGTCTTCTTAAGAAACATTTTATCAAAACTAATTCATCTAATTATATATTTGAATTAAGACTTGGGTATATTACCAGTATTTTTTTTAGACAACAAAATGTTTTACTTAGCCTATGTCAGATTCTGAGCAATGTGTTTTTTCGTGAAGTTGTATAATAGGCTGTAAATAAAACCTTTATTTCGTAGCACAATTTATCTGGACACTTTAAATTCCATTTTTGCATTTGAAATTCACAAACATCTCCTAACCTTTTAAAACTTTACTAAAGTAAGTTACAAGTATTGCAGAAAAAGCTCTGAACTTTCTTCTCAGGATCAGTAATGCCCAAGCTCTGGAAAGTGGGAGCCGGAGAGGTGGTGCGCCCCTGTGGACAGGTGGCCTGCCACATAGAGCCCAGCTCCTGCCCCAGTGCTGAGCGTTAGCTGAGGAGCATCATCCCGGAGCTCGGGGACCTGATGTGACTGCTGGATATTTGTAGCCACATTATATCAAACTGTGTATAAAACAGCTACCGTAAACTGTAATAGAATCACCGTTAAATGCCATATTGGTGGTTGGCATGTTAAAACAAAGTGATTCAAGTTTCTAGTTGAAAAGATTATTGAAACCTCCCCAAAACTCTGAACTTAACAGAAGGGTAATCATTTTGTGCACCGGTGATTGCTGTGAGAAAGACTCACCACATGAGTTTCAACCACAGTGTGAATCTTTCATTTATTTCATATATTTGGGATTCATGTAAGGTTTCATTTTAAAAGAGTTGCCATGCAAAGAAAGAAAAATTTTAAAACAATTGCACCATAATGTTCAACTTCTCCTTAGAAAGCTAATTTATTCTCCCCTACTCAGGGTCTAGGTTACAAAGTGACATATTATCCACTGATGCTTAAGTTCATAAATTGCCTGGGAGCAAAATAAAGCTAGACATGTTTTCTTCAATTTTTTTCCATAAAGCATGTGAAAGAGAATTGCCTCTCACTACCAACCATGCATCTGTGTATACAGCCTTTGATTTTTAAAGCTCTTTCACATAGACTATGGATGCAAAGGAAACAACATTACAGGGATTACTGTTATCCCTATTTTGAAAATAAACTCAATTTAGGCCCCATTTTCCTATTGGGCAAGGAAATGGGACACAAACCTGCTTAAAGCTGTCTATGCCCTCGTGGAGCAACCAGAGCAGCAACGAGACGAGAGCAGGCTGTGCGTGGAGTGCCCTCAGGAGCTCCGCCTCCACCACAGAGCACAGGCAGCGTCCAGGGCAGGGCCTGGTCCTGAGGGAGCAGGAACACCTTCTCAGATACGGGAATGGAGAAAGGCAGTCCAGGCACGAGCAGTGGCACGTTTTGGTAGAACCTTTGTACTCTGGAAAGTAGCAAAATGTGAATAGCAAGTATGGGGAGATGTGGGCCACGAGTAAAGGTGAGGTTTTAGAAGTAGGTAAGGAACAGATCAAGAAAGAGTTATAAACCCAAATCAGCAGGCAGTAGGAGCCACAGGAAGAGTTGACCTCCTGTGGTCAGATACCCCTCCAGAGTTCATGGGAAAGATGTCCTGGGGGAGGAGGTTCTCCAGGCCAGGGACTAAGTCCACGCCGGTAGTTGTCAACACTGAGTGTGCAGTAGAAGAGCATAAGCAGTGTCTAAAACCACTGATGCAGAAAGGAGTACACAGTAATGGAAGTGGCAGTCATGTGGATAAATCTGAATGAATAATGATTGCGTCTTGTGGATGTTGTGAATGATAATGTCTTGTGGATTGGAAAGCTAGAGAGAACTGGTGGCATGTAAGTTGGGGAACAGGGTAAATCGAGTGATCTGGGGCGAGGATAGAAGTGCCAGTCAGCCAGGTAAAAGAGCCTCAGTAAGAGTGCATGTAAGTTGGGTAAAGTGTCTAACTTTCAAGCCAGTAGAAGGAAAACTAGTCTGATAAGTGATAATCCAAAAGAAAACTAGAAAATTAAGGGAATAAAACAGGTATGACAATGAGAAAGCGTTCAGTTACATGGTAGGTTCAGATCTAGATAAATCAGCAATTACATGGATTACATGCTCTAATTTTTTTAGATAAAAGTTTTAAAAGATCAGTTCTATGCACTTTACAAGAGAGAGGTCTAAAACTTTCTCTGTCTTTATAGACACAGGAAATGGTACATCATGCGAACTCTGTCCAAACGCTAATGCGTACCTATGTTTTCTATATATTAAAAAAAACTTTAAGGCAAAAAGCATTATTAGGGATGAAGATGGGGACTTCAAATAAGAGAACAGGTAACAATTCCACGTTTGTATGCACATAATACAATAACAGCATATTGAAAGCAAAAATTGATGACGAGATGGAGAAATATACAAATCCACACTCAGTGGGAGATTTTAACACACACTCTTGTGTGTAATAGAACAAGCAGACCAAAAATTAGTACAGTTGTGGGAGACTTGAAGAAAACATTCACCAACTTTGGCCTGGTGAACACACACACAACAGTGTACCCAAGAATCACAGAATACACGATTTTCAAGTATACTTGGAACATTGATGAATATTGACTATATGTTTGACTACTATAAAGTAAGCCTCAATACCTTCTAAAGGAATCATACAGACTATGTTCTCTGATCATAATATAATTAAGATAGAAATCAGTCATAATTAAAAAACACCAATATGTTTGGAAATTAAGAAATACATTTCTAAATCATGGATCAGAGAAGAAATCAAAAAATAAATTAGAAAATATTTTGGACTGAACTGAATGATAATGAAAATATTGTGTATCATAACTTGTGAGAAGCAGCTACAGTCATTCTTAGAGTCAAAATTTATAGTCCTAAATGCTAGTATTGGGAGGGAAAAAGGCTGGAAACCAATGTTCTGGATATTCATCTCAAGAAGTTAGGAAAAGAATAGTAAACTAAACCCAAAGAAAAATAATGAGGATGAGAACAGGAATTAATGAAGTAGAAAAAAAAATATTGAAAGTTCCTCTACTTTTAAAAGATTATCAAGATTGATAAACCATGAGAAGAATGACCAAGAAGAAAGGAGAGCGGCACAGAACAGCTAAAATGAAAAGTCAACAACAGCAACAAACCTGACACTCCCCAAGAAAGAAGGGCATGGAGTGGCTGGAGGGCTGCGCTGCTGGTAAGCAGGCCGGTGGGTCAGCCTCTTTGGCACTTTGACGCTTCTTATACCCTTACCATGCGTATTAGTGTTCTGTTGCTGCTGGGACAAATTATCACAAACTTGTGACTTAAAAGCTGTTCTTCAGTTTTGGAAGTCAGAAGGCTGACCTGGGTCTCACCGGGCTAAAATCAAGTGTGGACAGGGCTCTGTTCCTTCTGGAGGTTCTAGGGGAAAATCCCTCTCTCGGCTTTTCCAGCTTCTAGAAACTGCCCCCATTCCTTGGCTCATCACCCTTACTTACCCCATCTTCAAAGTCAGCAAGGGTAAGTTGAGTCTTCACATTGCATCAGTCTGCTCTTTTCCTCTTCCTCTTCCACTTTGAAAGAGCCTGTGATTACTTTGGGCTCCAGCATAATCCCCCTATGTGCTGATCAGCAGCCTTTTTTTTTGATCAGCAGCCTTAATTCCCCTTTGTCATGTAACCTAACATTCAGAGGTTCCAGGCATTAAGATCTTTAAGAGGACATTGTTCTGCCTACCACACCATACAACCCAGCAATTCCAGTCCTAAAAAATATATTTAAGATAAATAAAAATATTTGTTCATACAAGGACCTATGCTTAAATGTTTATAGCAGCTTTTTTCATGATCTGCCAAACTTGAAATTACCCAAATGTCCATGATGAGGGCATAAATGAGTTGTGGCTTATCACACAGTGGGAAGGAACAAACTACTGATACATACAGAGACATGAATAAACCCAAAAGTATTATGCTAAGTCAAGCCAGACGGAAAAGGCTGTATGCTATATGACTCCATCTATATGACATGTTTGTCAAAGCAAAACACACGAGGACAGAAAGCTGCAGAGGCACACAGGGGAGCCTTTGGGAGTGGTGCAAATGCCACCAACTAATTCCCCCAAGGAACTCAAGGGTGGGTTTGGAAGCATTTAATGTTTTTCCAAGTTGTTTTTTCCGTTTTGTTATTTTATGTTGAGATGCCACGAGCAACCTCCCTGAACGAGTCCAGGCCTCACCACAAGAGCTTGCCTGTGAGCTTTGCCTTATTTTTAAGGCTACGAGCTCTCCAGGAGGAGGGTGGGCCTGGTTGCCACCACCTGCAGCGTACGTGGAATCGCGTTTTCCAAGTGAGCTTGTGCAAGAGGATTCCCACCTCTCCCTTTGGAGTATTCATTCCTTGTCTGAAATGAATGTCCCTGCTTCCCTTTGTTCGGGGACACCGCGACTCTGGAAATGATTCCTCAGGGGCTCCTATTTGCTGCAAACACACTTCACTTTGTGAGACAACGACTTCTGGTGGAGAGTCTGATTTAACTCGCCAGGAGGGAGCCCACTTTGGTTTCAGTAACAGAAATACTCTATCTTTACCGTGGTGGTGGTTCCAGGGCTGCATACATTTGTAAAATCTCATGCAACTATACACCTAGAACACTTTTTAGAATATGTAAATTATACTTCAATAAGCCTGATTTTTTCCTTAAAAAGTAAAAGGCAAAAACAATGGAAATGAAAAAAAGAATACCAATACAGATCCTATAGACGTTAAAACGTTGTCAATGTTTGAAAATATAGAAGAAATGGTAAATTCATTTAAGAAATTAACTTACTGATATGAGAACTAATATAGGGCCGGCCTGGTGGCACAGCAGTTAAGTGCCCACACTCCGCTTCTCAGCGGCCCGGGGTTAGCCGGTTCGGGTCCCGGGTGCGGACATGGCACCACTTGGCAAGCCACGCTGTGGTAGGCGTCCCACATATGAAGTAGAGGAAGATGGGCACGATGTTAGCTCAGGGCCAGGCTTCCTCAGCAAAAAGAGGATGATTGGCATCACTTAGCTCAGGGATAATGTCTCTCTCTCAAAAAAAAAAAGAACTAATAGAAAATCATAATTAAAATCCCCATAAAGGTTAGGCTAAGATACGTTCATCTGAGAATGCTGCCTGGACATGTAAAGAGGAAAGCCATTCTTTCACAGTTCCTGTGGCAGGTAGGAAAATGCTCGCCCCCCAAAAATGTCCATGTCCTCATCCCT